GATGAATAAAAAGTATTTTATTAACGATTAAAAATTAATTAATAATTAAATTTTCAAAAAATTTAAAGTCAATTCCTACTTAGGTCAAACAAAAAAAAAATTTAAATACCAAAACATTTTTTTTCGTAAAACTGTATTAACATTTTTGAAAAAACTGTATCAACGTCAAAGTGTCATCCACTACAAGTTTAAAAAAAATGTGTTTGAACTTGAGTAAATGAACAAAAAGTATTTTATTAACAATTGAAAATTTGAACAAGATATAAGGAGAGTGTGAACTAATAGTAGATATTTAAATATTATGCATTACATTTTACGAGACAACAGAAACGTTTCTTACAGCACTGTGAGTTGAGTGAGCATGCCAATGTTCTCGATGCAGGTAATGAGATTATTCTGTAAATAGAGGCAATTCAGATGTATTAAATGATCCAAATTTTCTATCTTCTCAATCTTGTTGTCATATAAGTAAAGGGCTAAAAGGTTCCGACATAGCTGCAAGTTTTCCTGCAAGAGAAACATGTATCAGAATTAATCCTGCATCGCATCAAAAATTAAAACTGTAAGCTTTAGCTTCGTCTTTAAAAAATAGCTTTGTGTGGTAGTAGCTTAAAAAAGAAGATAACGGTGCTGGATGCCTAGTGGTCAATTTCTTAGGACTAAAACTCTAATCAAGCAATATAAATTCAGGGATGGTCAATAACTTCACATATTTTAGCATTTCCAATAGACGCCAGAAAACAAGAAAGTTGCAGACTATATGTTAATTGTACAAAAGAAACCTGAAATGTGAGAAGATTATGCCAGTGCTATAATATTATTAATACTACTCAACATTGAGACACAGAATTTTTCAAAGACTATTTATTTATTAAAAGGTTTGATTTTGAATACTTTTCAATACTATTAGTATCTTCTTCTATATGCACGAAAAAGGTTAATGTACGTTATAAATATAATATAACCTACAGAAAGATTTATAATTACTATATTTCATATTAGTAACACTTAATACAAGTGGTTTATTAACCAAGCTTTATTCTTTTATTCGTGTTACACAAGCATTGCGTTTTTTTTACTGAATCTTCAAAAAAAAAAAAAAAAAAAAAAATGGTAGAAATTCGTGAGGTTTCTGTGGACTAATCGTACATGAAAGATTGAAAGGTTTTATATAACAATCTTGCAAAACGGTTATGAACAAAATTAGTAAGTTTCAATGCGTACGGTCTCACGCATACAACATCACCCTAGATATTCCTTTCCAGTTCCCCTCAGGGGGCTCACTTCTGTGAGGCGGTGGTGCAATCCCGAGGTACCCCGAGCCCTTCGGGTTCATCTTCTGATGAGAGGGTGTCACGATCTGGAGCCCCAGTGATCTATCCGATTTTCCGTCTCCTCTCTCTTTCTGGAACTTTTTCCTTCTCTGTCCCTCGTGGTTTCTATACGGGTTTGGGGCTCGTCACGAGAGCTGGACAGCCCTGTCTCTATCTTCGAGTGGGGAAAACTGCCCACGTGTTTGCCGTGCGTGGGACCCGTGTCGCTGGAAATGAGGTCCTGGTAGTTGAGGGGAGCCTGTCCCCCAACACACTACTTGTCCCCTGCATCAACGGGTCACCGTTAGGCGTTCCTAGGGTCTCACGGCTGGTCACAGTCCTTTGTCAGTGGCTTGGGTCAAGCTCTCGGAGTACTGCTTTCGGGAACGCCGACTGTGGGGCTTCAGTTTGCGTATAGGTCCGCTAGCCCTAACACAGGAATCTTTCCCGTTGGGCTCCGTGGTGTGCGGGGGCCGTGGACCGAATTTTTCTCTTTAAACATGCTTCAATTTCATACTAAAAAACCTACCCAACGAAATAAACAAGATATGAATATGAGACACCTATTAGTAAGAAAACCGTACTGATTAAATTAAGAAATGAAATCCGCGCTTCCTAGTTGTCTCTTGTCCTTCGGTGAACTGCAAAGATGTTCCTTTCTAGTAGCAAATACATAACTCATGCATAGGTCAGCCAAAGAATATTAAGCGTCTCCGTTGGAGACCTGCTTATAGATACTGTTTCGCCAACACAATCTGCTTCCCTTTTGTCACAAACCAACTTGGAAATGTAGCTATAACTGTTATCGCATAAACTCTGAATGTTTGTAGAGGTGTTATCTCGGAAATCGACCTTCTCTCTGTTTCAGAAGAAGAGTTCGTTTCCGAGTTAGCTGACCAAAATTCTGTGGCGCTAGGGAAGATGCGTAAGGAAGGTCAGTTGATTGACACCAAACAGTGATCCTGACCTTCAAATCGCCTGATCTGCCTAGAATATTAAGGCTGGAACCTCATTGTCCTGTACGTCCATACATTCCAAACCCTATGCGATGTTTTCCAGTGCCAGCGTTTTGGCCATTCCAAGATGTCCTGTCGTGGGACCCTGATGTGCGCTCGATGCTCGTCGGTTGGCCACGATAGCGAAAATTGCACCGCTTCAACTGTGTATAAATTGCACGGGCAACATCCAGCATTTTCTCGTTCCTGTCCGAAATGGAAATTAGAAAAGGATGTGCAGACCATAAAAGTTACCAGGAACATTTCGTATTCCGAAGCAGAAGACAAGTCAAAGCACACAGCTATATCGAACAAATCATATGCCAATGCCGTGAAATCAACCGCACAATAGCCACCCAAACTTCCATAAGTAACAGACCCACCAAATAAAAACCAGCAGCCTGCAAGCAAGAACAAGAAAATCCAACACATACCATACAAAATAAAGAAATAGCAATCCCGAGCAAACCCAAACTGTGCCTCCAATAATAGAAACCAAAATAGAAGTCCCAGCAATTTCGCAATAAAAATTTCTGATCTGCAGATTCAGACAGTATGGAAGTGGAAGACGTCTAGAAGTCCCGATCATCTCTTCCGCGCAAAACTAAAAAGGAACGAACAACAAACATCAATCATAATGGCCACCCTCGTTCTCATGGACTGTCGCGGTTTCCACCGAAATTTGCTCGACATCAAAGCCATAATCAATGCTTACATCCTGTTGCTTCGCAATACAGGAACAAACTAAAACCAGAAACAGGCAAAACTTCGGAGGTTTTCTTCGTCAGGAAAGACATTGCAGGTGAACGTGCCAGTGGAGGGAGGTCTCCTCACCTCACTGGATTATCCCTCAAATGTGCTTTCTTTGACGACATCCCTCCAAGTTGTCGCTACTCAAACAAATTTTGATATTGTTGTTACAGTCGTTTCTCTGTATTGCCTCCAAATGAGCAGATTGATCAGCAAGATTTAAATGGTCTTTAGAGCAGCGCCTGAGCCTTTTCATAATAGGAGTTTTAACGGCCTAGTCCACTCTGGGGTAGTAAAGATACAAAATGCCGAGGAAGACAAATTGAGCAGATGACGAAGATATGCCTTGTCTCCTGAATAGGAGATAACTTACATGAGCCTACTTCCATGCTCTCGACCTTGCCTCTGTTCACCATCTCTGTTGCCATTTTGCACTTTTAGTGTCGAAATGACCTGTACAACAGCGATCATTATCCTATTTTTGTGTCTCTTGCACGAAGAGAAGCAAATCCCATGACGAGACTCCCTCGTTTTATCCTGGACAGGGCAGACTGGGAACTCTTCTCTCATGCAGAGCTCACACATCAATGGTAGAAGGTGTGCATATCGATGACGCTGTTGGAGCTGTTACTTACTATAGCAGGCAGCTATGCTCCATTCCTAGAACATCCGGAAACTACTAAAATATTCGAAACCGTGGTGGAATCGCGACTGTCATGAAGCACTGAAAAAACAGAAAAGCATGGGTATTTTTTCGTGATATCCTACTCTGCGAAACCTCATAGCTTTTAAAAGAGCCAGAGCAATGCACGGAAGTAAGAAGGCGAGCCAGGGATTCCTGGATTTCATATGTGTCCTCAATAACATCTCTACGCCTAGTAAGCGGGTTTGGGAAAGAGTTCGAAAGCATGCGGAATGTATAAAGACCACTCACTTCCTTTCTGGAAAAAATGGCCGAGTGATTAGCTCCATAGAAGAAATTGCAAATACAATTGGTGAGACATTTGCTGCCGTTTCTTTCCAGCCGAAATTACTCACCTGCATTTCTTCTATCAGCACGCTCTGAAAAAAATCCCATCGCTTTCAACTCTTCCAACTTTGAGCCGTACAATAGAGACTTTACTATCTTGAACTAAAGAGAGCTTTGTGCAGACACATAGGTCTTGTCCGGGTCTGGATGGCGTGTATTATGAAATGCTAAAGCATCTGTCCTATAAGTCACTGAGTGCCCTTCTCACACTTTACAATAGAGTGTGGAAGGAGCTACATTTCCCAGTGCATGGAGGAGAGCTATTGTCCATTCCTATGCGAAGCCAGGGAAAGACCCGAGGAATCCCTCGAACTATCGGCCAATTGCCCTTACCAGTTGTGTTTGCAAACTGTTTGAAAAGATGGTAAACAGCCGCCTAGTCTACTTCTTGGAAAAGAATAATATTATATCGCCTTATCAGAGCGGTTTTCGAAAGGGGAGAACGACCGTAGACAATATGCTTCTATTAGAGACAATCGAAAAGCCTTTGTCAAAGAAGTCACCTGTCTCCATATTCTTCGACATTGAGAAAGCTTATGATAAGGCATGGAGATACGGTATACTCCGGGTCTCACGAGAGTGGCTTGCGCGGCAACCTACCAATTTTCATACAGAATTTCTTGAACGCTAGAACTTTCAAGTAAGGATTGGCTTTGTTTTTTCGGATGTTTTTCAACAGGCGAGGGTGTGCTCAAGGCTGTGTCTAGGGAACCCTGTTAGTTTAAAAATAAACCTGTATTAAAAGAACTTCCTCCCACCATCTTGGGTCTCTATAGTTGATGATCTGGATTAGCTGTCGAGGAGCAGACATGAGATATGTAGAGCGGCAACTGCAGATGGCTCTGAATAGATCCAAGAATGGTCAGACAAACAGGGATTTACATTTTCGAAACAGAAACTGTGTGTGTTCACTTTTGTAGGAAGCGTGGTCTCCAGCCTGAACCTGAGTTATATTTGAATGGTACAATTATTCCAGTTACGCCCGAGTAAAATTTTTAGGAGTGACGTTCGGACCGAAAATGGACCTTTCCTTTCTCATGTTTAAACCTGAGAAAGAAGTGTCTAAAACACTAAAATATTTAAAAGTGTTGGCGAACACCTCCGGGGTGCAGACGTTGCTCCATGCTTCGCATTACAGAGCGCTTATCCCTCTAACTGGACTATGGCTCAGTGTTTATGGGATCCGCTCGCTCATCTGTTTGTTAAAACTGGATCCTGTTCACCATCAAGGTCTGGCGGATTTGTCAGGAGCTTTCAGGACTTCTCCTGTGCAGGGCCTATATGTTGACTCTAACGAACCATCACTTTATCTGAGGCGTGAGCAATTGTCTCTTTTGCATTATTTTAATATTCTACTTCAACCTGAACATCCCAATTAGCTGTGCTTACTTGATAATGTGTGCAAGTCATTATTTGAAACACATCCATCCTGTGTTCCTACCTTCCCTTTAAAAGTTTGCCCTGTCATTGAAGAACTTTCTCTCTCTGATATGCACCCCCAAGCAGTGCAGAACTTTGAAATCCCACCTTGAGAAAATGTACGAATTCAGCTTCTTAATGTTTTCAAGCATCACGTGAAGGAAAATACCAACGAAATAATTTACAGACAACTCTTCGCTGATCACAGGCACAAATATTGCAGTTATTACCCAATATATACAGACGGATCCAAATCAAATGATCATGTCAAGATGGCATTTGTATTTGAAGATTACTTAGAGGGCAGATGTCTGCACCCTGCCTTTTTCAGTCCTAACATCTGAACTAACTGCAATATATTATTGTCTGTTGTATATCTCAAAGCTCTGCCACAAAACGTCCATAGTTTATTCAGACTCATATAGTGCTCTTAAATCGTTGGAAGCTTTTCCCAACGCTCAGAAGCCTGTGGTAGTGGATGTTCTCAAAATTCATAGAAATTTAATGATACGAGGATAGAAATCCTGTACTGCTGGGTTCCGGGCATACGGGAATAAAGGGAAACGAGCTTGCAGACATCGCGGCAAAATCTGCTGTCGAACTGTCCAGTCGCCTTATCCCTTTTAGAGACATCTGCTGTGTCATCAAGGAAAGATACGAAAAAAAATGGCAGCAAATTTGGGATGTTCAGCATCACAACAGTTGAGAAACATCAAACCTAGAATGAGCATTGGGATTTTGCTGGAAATCGAAAGAGGCGTCTTTTGACTCGACTCAGAATTGGTCATACCAGTCACACAGCTATCTTCTTAAGCTGAAAATGAGCCTGTTTGTTTTAATTGTAATGTTTGTTTATCTGTTCGTCATATTTTAATTGAGTGTCAATGTTTAAAGTCTTCGCCAGAAATATTTAATAGCGTGACTTACCTCTCGACCGTTAATCGGAAGAGAGGTAATTCTAATTTATTTTATTATTTAAAAGAGATTGGCTTTTATTACCAAATGTAATTTGTTTGAAGACTGTGTCTTGAATGTTAATATGTGCTTTTAACTTGTTTTTTTACTTCATCTCTGGATTGGTACATTTATCTACTTGTTTTTATTTATTGAATTTTCATGTCATCAATTGTAATCATCTCATCTTTTGTTTGGCGCGTCATAATCATCTCTGGTTTTTGCGCCATAATCACTCACTCACTCACTCACTCACTCACTCACCCCTTTCCAGTTCATACTCTAGAGAGAGCGGCTAGTGTAACGCTTTTTTGATTTTCTTCTTCAGCTGATCGTGATTATCAATTCTTTCGCGGTAAACCTCATTTCGATAACTCCCTAGAGCAAGATATCCAACCTGTTTTTGCTCATTCATGGTCCAGGAAATCGATGATTCGTCTCTTCATAATTCCTGAAACAGAAGCTCGCTCTTATTGAAAAACAACAATGCAACATTTTCCACTTCCAGTTGATTCGAAGAAGCAAAACTATCTGTAGCATTTCCGAGTTTACGTTGAAGCTAATATTAGTTTCAACAAAGAAAAAACGACCAAAAGTCTTCTTGCTTATATGACTACACTAAATCTTAAGAATTTGTAACACCTATAGTTAACTCCTGTATAGTTCCAACTAATTTTGTGATGTCAATTATTCTAAAAACCAAGGTACTACGTTTGTTCTGAAAGGCGAATTATCACTACCAAGGTCTCTAACCATCAAACAAACAGGTGCTAAATTAATGCTTGAAGTTCCATCCCAGCGCCTGTGAGTGTTTAAATTTAAAATATAGAAATATAAAATTACCAGCTAACTTCGACATGGTTTCAATGCAAAACTTCGTTTCACAAACGAAATAAATTCAACACATTAAATCTAATCTAAGCAGAGGCTACAAAACTGCCTATACCCAGTGAAAAGAGCCAGAAAGGAAAAGGTTAAATAACATTTCGTTCATAAAACTGAAAGATAAATGCTACATAATCATAAACGGTTACATAAACAAAATTTAATACCTCTAAGTAAATAAATTAATTTATAATATTTCAGAAATTTGTTAATTCACATTAAAATCATGCCTTACGAAACATGTCGTCGGATATTCTACAAAACCCTATCCCACATCCTTGTACGCAAAGCCTGCCAATCTTAAGAGATAGTTACATGAAATTTTTCAAGTCCCAAATTATTCAATTTTAACAACTCATATCGAGTGGAATATCGAATTACAAACGTCTATCACCATGAACAAATAAATTACTTGAACGGAAAGCGTCTTGGATCTCGAGTTGCGAGCACTCAATTTGGCAAGCAAATTATTTTCACGCGTGTTTTGATGTAATTTAGGAAAAACAGGGACTTCAAGAAATTTAATTTTAATGTTTCCCATTGCTTAATTCCTTTTAACAAAGCCTGAAAATAAGAGTATAAGATTGCGAATTCGACGTGAGGAAATTATGGCCAGATTTTGTTGTAGGAAAGATCCTGAAGGCTTTGGCACTGAGGAGGTTTTTTTCTAACTTACAATATTGAATCTCTAGGCAATACCATGCACTTGGTAGTTAACAGTGAAGACATGAAGCAGTCAGAGGACCATAAAAATAATCTTGAAAACAAAGAATTGGAACAACTTCAGAAGCCTCAACAAAAGGCGACTGTAAAGAAAATTTCTTCAAAGCAGAAATTTGTACAGCAGATGATCTTTAATTTGAGAAGTTATTACAAAGTAGAATAAGAGCAACAATATCATCATGATAAAGCAGCAGCACGTTTACAGTTTAATGGTAATGCCATGTTTCACTTTGGAAACATTTTAAAACATAAATTACAGCAAATCGCATTTGAAAACTTTTGAATGAAACGAAGGTACAGTGAGTTTCAACAGAGTGCAGTAACGCAAAGAGACAAAAGAATATGACCCAGAAAGACATTACCTAATGTTTTCATAGAAGACGACTCCTCATTCGAACAATATTATGTCTTCCATTTCTGTTCATCATTTTCCACTTACGCCTTTCACCCTACTTCATACAAGTACAGTAAAATTAATTGAAATTTTTGTCTGTTTTATTTGCTTAAAATTGTGTTTATCTTTTTTGTCTTAGATACATTTTTTTGTAATATAAAGTTATTCATGGTGTATTGCTGTTTATGTAAGTAGTCATCCGTGATCCAAGAACAAATTGTCTTTAGATTACTTACGCACACTTCAAATAATTACCGGCCATCAGGTATAGATTATTCTTGAACCGAGATTTCACTGTGATTGTTTACACGAAACGAGCCTTCATCCACAGTGAGACCATGTTCATATGCACAAGACTTTTCGAATGATTAAATTAAATAAGAATTTCAACTAATTCATATTACGGATACTTCACAGAAAACTCGGAGAACTCACCATTTATTCTTAAAAACCCTTTAGAATGTTTATTATTACGAAGAGTAACACCGATAGTTCCACTAATGTATTATTGTAGCATTACTGTACACCAACAGTGCATAGTAATGAAATATAAGAATAATAACACCATTAAAATTTTCGTGCAAAAATTCACATTTTCTTACAATTTTTTTGATACGTTGTTCCTGTAGGTATAGATGAGTTATCCGTTGCATAATATCGTCGTTGTCTCCTACGGGAAGGAGGTGTTTGGAAGAACATCTTCGGATCAACTCGTTGCTGATCTTCATTCTTAAGCTTTCAGCTTTCTTCCTTCGATTCTGTCATCTGTCTATCCCCTAGAATGTACAACTGTGTATTAAAGCTCCGGCATTTCACACTGCAACGATTGAAACGAATCATGTCGTTGGATACTCTGTAAGAAATTATACCATTCCCTTACCTATAAGACATTGTACCATATATCAAAATTGAAATTACCTTTGTGATAAGATATGTTATTACTTTAGTGATAAGACTATAAGGTATTTCTCTCGCTTTCCTAGAGTGCCTTCGTGGTGTAGCGGTCAGCACACTGATCCGGTATTTCAGAGGTCAGCGGTTCGATTCCCGACGAAGGCTAATCCCGACATAAATTATGCTAAAGACGAAAATAAGTAAAATTATATTTATCAGTTATCATAAATTAAAAGTTATATTAAACGAGAACTTTTTTTAACTTTACTAGAATTTATAGCACTTATAATATTTATAGCACTTAGTTTGTTGCCTTTCTAGTCTGGTACATTGAAAGTACAATTCGCACAATTTTATTTCGAAACCCCACCAATGACCGGATGGATAAAGACCGCTGAACACTGACTTGGGTTCCTATCTCAGCTTATTGGCTGACTACATAACTTTTTTCGTGGTTTTCTTCATTCGTAATATTAATACAAACCATTTTCCCTTAGGAAATCTTCTACGAAGACATTCTTTTCCTTAGACAGATGACTTCCTGTGTTTTGTCATATTCAGTAACACAAAATAATGGATGAAACTTGCCTAAATTACTTATTTTCATTGCAAAAATCAGAAATGCGGGAGCATCTTATCCAGAGTACTTCAGAAAAGATGAGAGAGTTTAAAAGGAAGTAGAACTCATCGAAACAATCTTTTTTTTTTTTTTTTTTTTTTTTTTTTTTTTTTTTTTTTTTTTTTTTTTTTTTTTTTTTTTTGTTTTTTTTTTTTGTTTCTGAGTGCATAGTCGAGAAAATTGAGCTTAAGCTCTAAAGCAGAGTTTTCCAATTTCTTTCTTACACCGACCTCTTTTAAAATTAGGGTTTTCTACGTCGACGCCCTTACATGTTTATTTATAATGTACGGCATACAGCATAATATTAATACAGATAAATTGCACATGAAAAACTCAAAAGTAACAATTAATCTAAGAATATGAATAAACATTTTGAAAAAAATTATCTACTACATTTACATGTTTTATTGTTTATTGTTATTATTTTTTATTTAAAAATACGAAGAAATTTTCCGAAACAAAATCACAGATTCAAATTGCACAAAAGTTCTATTTTTAACCAATGCTCTATATTTTTGCTGCATAATTTTTAATAGTTGGCATAAATTTGCTTTTCTCAAAACAACTTTTTCAAAACTATGCCACCAGTTTTGGGTCTTTCTTATTAAGTTATTGACTTCACTAATGGCTGCTTCTTCTAAGGCAAGACGAGAGAAAAGTCAATAAATAATGTTGGTCAGATAACAAATTTATTTTGGGAACTTCTCAGGGATGACTTTTAAATTCCACATTTCAGCTTAACCAATTGTTTTGACTTATTTGCATGATATAGCTTTATATTACCAAATAATTAATTATCAATGTTATTAACAGATATTTTTTAATAAAGAGGATCTTGATTATGCCGATCCATTGCCGGTGAATATTCAATTATCGACCCCCTTTAAAATTTCATCAATCCCCAAGGGTCAATACTTACTCCGCTGGAATCTCTGGTCTAAGGGATGCTTGCCTACCTGCAACCGGCAGTTCCGCAAACATATGTGTGCTACATTTTCTGCTTAGGGAATGGATCTCTACACAATTATCGAGAAACCCAAAATACACTTCCCGATACAAGGGCTTTTTTCAGAGTTGGTAGAGGATATTTCAGCAACAGACCTTCACCAATGTATATGTTCCTGTACAACAGAGCACCAACCCACGTTCCACCAGACGTAAGAAGTTATCTGGATATCATCTCTTCCGATCCAGTGGTTTGAGGAGAAATGGTGCCACACTAGACTCGATTGCAATCTGCTGGGTTTCGCTTTCGTTTTGTTTCGACATCTCATCAGCTTCATGTATGAGACTTCTCGTAATTCCTTGCCAGAATTCTAGTGAGGGCTGCACTTGTGTGCGATGCCTCTGGTGTAACCACCAGTTCATCCATCTCTGTTGTGCTGGGAGAGTGATCTTTGGAGCATTTGATGTAATTATTCGAAATTAAAATTGTTTTTTTAAACTTCTGCTTCATTATTGTGTCTGTGCCTCATCGTCTGAGCTGCACCATCAAGAGCCTTCTAAAGCTTTTGTTTCATTTCCCAACATGCATTCTATGATAATGATCGTCTCAATACATTCTACCCTCTTTCAAAGTTCACCCTATCTTTTTTTTAAATACCTTTTTTATATTTCGAAGAATAAGGTATAAATAGGAAAATAAGGTATTCTTAAAGGCATCAAAGTATTGATAAAACGTAATTATAACCAAATATTATGAATTAAAATTTTACATCGTGCTGTTTGCAAGCAATGCTAAATAAAAGCAATGCTACATGTCATAATATATTTCATATTGTCATAATATACTCTTTTTGTAAATTATTTTAAATTGCAAAATTGTGAAAATTTAAATTTTCAATAAATACAGTAATACACTACATCAGTATTGGGTATTTTATTTGTGTTATTTTCTAAGGAACAGAGATGGGAAAATAATCTCTCGCAGTGGCATTTGGCTAAGATAAGCTCGGTGGAAAGGGAAGATTTTCAAGAACACTGCAGAAAGACAAGAAATTTTATCACCATTCACCTTTAAATGTTGTACAATATCCCACAAAAGTTTCTGAATAGATAATATGGTTGCCATGCAATTTAAATGCGTTTTATTTATTTATTTATTTATTTATTTATTTATTTTTAAGAGAGAAAAAAAATAGGGGAACGGAATTTGTTCCACTCTTGAAGGAAGGGTTTCGAAGCTACCTGATTTAATAATGCCACTGGAAAATGGCGCAATATTACAGTTCCACCTAAGAAGGTTAAATCATCACAGCCAAATTCGTTATCAGATAAAATTCAAACTCTTAATGATTGAGAACAGATATTTTACTCTTAATGATAGAGAATGGATGGATGAAATTATAATTAATAAATTTATTAAGAATAATTAAATTTTTTAAAAACTGACCTCGGAGAACTTGTGGGGTTCCAACTTTTTATCTAACAGGTAAGTGTTTAGGAACCTCATGAACACTTAAATGAATAATCGCTTTATATCCCAAATAGCTACATAAACCTCAAGAAGGGTTAATTACCCTTTATTTCTCAAAATAAGAATTTAACAGGTGGTCCCTTTCTCAGGACGTACAGCAAAGCCTCCACTTGGGCTTGCACTCAAAGTAATAGAAATGAAAGTTAATTATTGCTTAAATAAAAGATATAGCCGGAGCTATTAAGATTTCTAAGTAGTTAGCCCCTAAATATCAACTAAGCTGTCGAAGCTATCAAGGGCCTGCTTAATAGCTTAGAGAGTGTAGCCAAAAGGCGAACGCGCGCTAGTCAGAATCTTTGGCTCTCTAACAAAGTCAGTGTAACTTCGACTTAAATACCGCTATTACTCATTTGCATTAACCGTGACTCTAAAAGCACATTCTGGTAGGAAATTGTAAGCTGAAATTAGGAGGGACAGAAAAGTAGCTTTCACTAAAGATAACTGTTAAAAACTTAGGATAAACCTTACAAACTAATTTTTTGAATACCGTATAATGGTCAACAGTGGTCTTGAGTACTGCCTTTCAAGACCACTGCTGCATGTTTATTCATCACTATTGTTTACTTTTGCTCACTGTTTCTGGGAGCCTTCCATGGGGCTGAGGTATATCTAAATTTAGATATTAAATCATAAACATATGTGTTGTGTCTCCTTTTCAACCAATGTCTTTTTGTCAATGAACTAGAAGAACTAAATTAGTCTCCTAACATTTTAAGCTAACAAGTTCAAGCGTATTTTTAAATATCCTCCAAAAGCATTAAAAAGGAAAATTATTTTACCTCGCTCGAAACCACGCATCATTTTGAGCATAGTCGGATTTTCGTGCAAATGGGAGGAAATCACATTGCGTTGGCTCTTAAAATACCGGCGTGGATTCCACGCGAGAAAGACTACCTGACTACTTTGCTTATTCCTGATACTTCAGATATGCTGTTGACGACTGTTAACAGGTTATAAGGAAATTTTCTTTCGACTCCTATAAGCTGACTGAGTTTAAATTGTAGTGCTGTATTTTAGTCCATACTATGAAAGTGTTCTTGTGATACATAAAAGAATTAGAAGTAAAATACATTGATTCAGCAATTATAAATTTAATCTAAAAATTATAAATCTGCAAGGGATCATTAGGGATCAAGTCTCCGTTTTATGGTAGCATGTTGATGAGCTGTGACTATCACAATCCTGGATTTTCCAATATCATCTGCCTATGATGTTTTTGAGGATAATAAATTTTCCAAACAAATAAAAAATAATTAGAAAAGGTTTTTTCTCACAAATGAGAAAATACATTTTTTCATTTGTGCAAGCATGAAACACTATACCCGTCATAATCAGTGACATATTAAATATGATATCCTATTCTTTTTCCAATAAAAATACTTTTAATTGTTTATGTATTTTTATGGAACACATCAGATAAAAAAATTTTTTTGCTTTTTAGGGCGTTATACTTTGATTTCTCGTCTTCGTTATATATTCGTCATTTTATCCAAGCATATTATTATATTACTCTCTTCGCATTCAAACTGCAGTAATCCCTACCGTAAAGAGGGACTGCATAAGATAACCATTTGTAAAAGGGAAGAGCTTTTTCTGAGTACATAAATAAACATGAGTACTGAATTTCACTCCTCTGAGACTGTAGGGATTTATATATATTTTAAATAACCATTGTTTTCTTTCCCATAAGCCTTCATTGCCTTAATTGTCAATGCCAGAATATTTAAATTTGGTAGCGCGTCTGAAGGAATGCAATCTTTACCTTCTGGAGAAAGAGTTTCAAAAGGAATACCGAGTTTCAGAAAGAAAATCAGGTAGTTTGGCTATTGCCGTCATCTTATAAGGTATTTCTCCCACTTCCCTAGCGTGCCTTCGTGGTGTAATGGTAGCACCCTGGGCCGGTATTCCAGAGGTCCGTGGTTCGATTCCCGGGGAAGGCGGTTGTTAATTTTTCATCTTTCCTGCTTCCAATTTACCTAATGTCTCTACAAGTGGCGCTCGAACTAAAAAGGGTTGTGGATGATGATTCTCCGCACCCAGGATTTGGCGACTAGGTCCCCTAAAACCCTAGTCGCCCTTTAAAAAGGATAGTATATAAGGTATTTCTCCCACTTCCCTAGCGTGCCTTCGTGGTGTAATGGTAGCACGCTGGGCCGGTGTTCCAGAGGTCCGTGGTTCGATTCCTGGCGAAGGCGGTTGTTAATGTTTCATCTTGCCTGCTTCCAAAAAATCCTAATGTCTCTACAACTTCTGTAGCGTGAGCTTCAGCTTTCGAAGTTATTGCTGGTTTACGTCGAAACTAGTGGCAGCATCTACTTTTGCTGCCACTAGTTTCGACGCGGTGTCAAGTAACAGGAGTTTTCTGAGCCCTGTAGCTTACTTTCTGCCACTTGTGAATATATTCAAATTTTTTTTAGTTCTTGTTATTTGAGTTACCGCCCTTGTGAGGCGTAGAATGTTAGCGTTGAGTTGATGCATTGTGAATTTTAAACAGTTTAATAAAAGGTACTTTCAACACTTCTCCTGTATTCCCCCTATACCAATTTACTACACATACAGTTGTCACTTAGAAGATAAGTAAGTGAATTCTACAAGACGATCACCTCTACTGACTCTGGGTAATAATTTTAGACAAGATTGTAAATTTTTTTCATATCTAGTTCTCTTCAATGAAAGCTACGGCACATCGTTGCTTTGAACATTAATTCATTCAAAGGATGGAGGTCCAACCCGCCTTAGTAATGGAGTTGTCTCCAAGGATTTAAAGGCTACCCTGAATATACATATACATATGTGATAAAAGCATTACTTCTGTAGATAATTTTGAGTCAGAAATAACAGTTAATGTCAAAAGAACAGTTTGGTGCTAAACACCACAAAAACCAATGTGTCGCAACTTTGCATAAAGCTATTTGGGCCTACTTGATCTGTATGGTGATAAGCTGTGCCAGCATCCATATCATTGGCCTAAGTTCGAGTTTCTGAGATGACGGAGACTTTGTATGCCTGAAATGTCTTTGCAGTCTAGACTAGCGGTTGCCAACCGGTGGTTACACGGACCACTAATGGTCTGTGATAACTTTTTGCTGGTCCGTCGAAAATTGGGACATTATTTATATTTTTATGAAGATTCAGTTTAAAACATGACGAGTAACAAACCTGTTATGAAATATGGATTACACTTTTTTTTTAGTTTCAGCTTGTATTTTTAGCGAAATGCCTTCTGAATTTAGCGACTTTTTAGCTACTTTTGCAGGTGTATGTAACGACATTTGAAACTGAGAATTGGCATCCATTTATATGCTGGTGTTATGAATGTTAGCGCTAACTGGAATTCTCTTTCCTTTTGAATTACAAACATATGCTATTGTAGTAGTTGATAACACAGTTTTTCTTCCTGTAAATAGGCAACTTTATGGGTTTTTATGAGAACCATTCGCATTCTTATTTATAATTGCATCACTGGAAGTTTCCGTGTTTGTTTTGCCTAATTGTTGATTCGATGGCGTCGTTGCTGAGTAAGCGATTATTATGTTTACGATAATTAAAAATTGGCGGCATAACTATCAGTTTATCGATACTGCTTTGCTTTTGCTGATTTGCTCTTGCTTTTCGTGAAGCTCCTTTTCAGTGATAGGGAAATGTGAAGCTTTCTGTACAAGAAGGTACGTTTTTTGTACTTTTCATGTAATTTTTCAATGTAAACGAAATATATGTAGTTTGCTGATTATTATTGTATAAATATATTTACCTTTTCTTTTAATTCATACTAGTGGTTCTCCAAATATAAAATTATATATGTAGTGGTCCGTGAAGTTCTAAGGGTTTACGACCGCTGGTGTAGACTGGCTGAACCTTCACTGCTGAGCCTTCAAAAGACTGTAAACCAGTAAAAAAAGCGGTAGGATACCCTTGAATCTGTTATTCAAGGCGCTGTCCATCAGAATTGCAAAACTAAGGAAATTCACATTACCACATTATAAGGTATTTCTCCTACCTTCTTGGCGTGCCTTCGTGGTGTAGTGGTTCTGCACGCTGGGCCGATATTCCAGAGGTCCGTGGTTAGATTCCCGGCGAAGGCGTTTGCTCATTTTTCATCTTTCCAGCTTCCAAAATACCTAATGTCTCTACAACATAAAGAGAGAAAGGTCCCGAGGCCTTAACCACTCATAGGAGCTTTCTCTTCTGATCATCATAAATTTGAGATCCTGATCTGGATCATGTTCATATGGAAAGAATTAGAATCAAGAACAGTAGTCGTTTGGGCGAAAGGAGTTGTCTCTACAACATAAAGAGAGAAAGGTCCCGAGGCCTTAACCACTCATAGGAGCTTTCTCTTCTGATCATCATAAATTTGAGATCCTGATCTGGATCATGTTCATATGGAAAGAATTAGAATCAAGAACAGTAGTCGTTTGGGCGAAAAGAATACAACGGCTAGCAAACTGTACTTTGATCATTTTATGACATTTCATTTAAAGTTTATCCAATAGTTAAAATTTACTTTTGAAGCTTTTCTTTGTGCTTCGTTTCGTCATGCATTCGCTCTGACCAGAAGTGTACGCAGATCTTAAGATAAGGTGCGTACTTTACGCTGAGAGGTAGAATCATAACCGTCATGACTCATTGTAAAGACCTTGGCTATTGCTCCAGACGTCTGCCTTGCCTAGCCAAAGCTGCTTTAGATTAGCTTTGCCTAGAGAAAGGTTTTCAGATTAAGATTAAAGGTGAACGAAGAACATTCGGCACGGTTTTGATAAATGTGAAGTTTAGTAAAGTAGGTAGGTCTGACTTATTGGATAATTGTAGCTTCGAGTAAGTCACTAGTGCTGTATCCAGTTAAACTGTTGCATGTTTCATCTGCAGTTCAAGAAAACTTAAATTTAGTGATTAAATTATTTTAAGTTAACTCACCAAAGGAGCAAAAATAAAGTTAAAAAGCAACATTTTGAGGGTTAATGTTTGATAGAGTACTTGTATAGCTAGAAAGCTACCTTCAAATTTTTATTTTTATTAATTTTTATACGGGGAGACAAAATACAAACGCATTGTGTATCTTGACTCTGTGAATCCTTGCTTAGGTAGGTTGCACTAATCGCATCGTGTCCCACATTTCCCACCCGGATACATTTTAGAGTTCGAAGTAAAGATAATACTGATAGCTTAAGGTTGCGACATTATTGTAAAAGTCTAGACACATAATTCTGAATTATCGAAAATAAAAACTGTTTCTATTGATAATGTAATGCAACATAAATGAATAGCATAAAAATCTTTAATAGAAAAGAATAGATTTTAGCGCTAATCTGCGTATGAATTTTACACATAATGCATGCTAAGAATTCTAAACTGTTAAACCAACTGTTTAGAATATTCCGTCAAGGGCACAAATCATGAATCGAAATTTACAGACAAAGGTCATACTGCGTATGATTCAGACAAATTTCTTCATTACAATGACATGTTTGAAACGAATAGCCTTTTTTAGTTTTCTTTAATTTATATATAAACTAACATTAGTAGCTCAGAAACATAAATAGCTCAGAAACTTATAGGTAAACGATTCAATCCGAAATGGAAGACAATTTCAAAGGAATGGAAAATAACATCTGCGTATCTAATTCTACCGTTTACATTCCTTCGTTCTTCTTTTTATCCCATGATCCATAAAAACCAAACTCCGACAAAAATCTTAGTTATCCATTGAATTATTTACAGATCTTAAGTGCAGTTGTTATTGATTCGGTCCTATAGAACACGAGCCGATGCTGTTCAACTTGAATATCATGTTGATTCAGTGTTGAGCAAATAAAACATGAAGAATACAATCTAATTTGAAGCTGCATAATTCATTTGGGGTATTTTCTTTCAGTTTAAGATTTCTGCTGATTCAGCTGTAAATACATTTCTCTGAACTATAATATTTGCATACACGTATGAAGAATAACGATTTAAAGATAGTGAATAAATAGAAAGCTATTTTCAAATATATATAATACTCTCCCATAACCAAAAAATTTTCAATACGTTCTTATATCAAGATCAAATCAGCTTCATTGAATCATTGTCGATGATTAATTGAACTCAGTACTGTATTCCTAGAAATACTTTCTTACTACTGAATACTGCATCACCTGGAAAGTCTCAGTCTATGTAAGTAAACCTAATTCCTTACTTTTGATGTTTGTTCGTTATAATAATTATGTTCTTTCAAATTTTTTTTGTGTATTAATATAAATATCTACGCATAACAAAATTTAAGAATTTTATGTAGCAATCATATTCTGTTTTCTTGCTACGCGAAGTTTATTTAATTAAACAATTACTGTTTCGCTAAATATTTTTAGCCAAAAAGCACATTAGTGCCTCTCAGTGGGATATTAGTTTCGAAACGGCATTTTGCGTTGAATCACTATAAACTGCGTACCACTTTTCAAATTGCTGCCACCGAATACAATCGCCCTGTATTATTTTTAAAGAAATTAAATAATGAAGAATCTGAATAAGTTCATGTTTCTCGCATTGTGAAAAAACAACGGTACTTACAGGCTTTAAATTCTGAATAACGTAGTTATCCACTTACCCGAACAAGACCACCTGGAAATCCGAATTTTGAATTTCGAATTTGTTTTATTATCTGTTGCATATTTTGTAAAACTTTAACGCATTTTTGTTTAACAAATTCTACGATTTCAAAGCGAGCAGTAGCAACACTGTTCAGACAAAAACATTTTTAACTCCAGCGCGCGAGCGAGACTGTCTATCGGAAATTCTAAAAATACGCTATTTTTAAATATTTTGCGATTTTGCTGTTGAATTGAATTTTATGTGCGGTAAGCGCTAAGAACATATATTTAATAAATAAAATAAACACTCCAAACATTAATAATAAAAAAATAAAAAATTGCTTGGTTAAACCATATTAGTAAGAAAACTGAACATTGATAGGAGGAACTGAGAAATGATGGAAGAAGATAGAAAAATGGTTGCTAACACTTAACGCTGCATCGGCTAAACGTATATTTCTATGATGCTTTAAAAAGTTTTGTAATTTAGCTGCTGAATATATCGCGTAAGTGCGAAAAAAATTAAGCTTAATAATAAAACTAAAAAGATTTGAAATCAGAGGGTTAGTAGGAGGGAGAATAGCAGTAGGCTGGTAGATTGCAAGCTCAGCGAGAGCTTAAAATACCTTAACAAATCCTATTGGGCGACCTTTAACACGTTGAACGCGGCGCCGAATTTGCTGTCTTTTCCGTTCAGCCGGCAGCGAGCTAAGCCATAAAGCTAAGCCGTATTTTTGTTTAGAATGTTTCAATACATTTCATTAAAACTAAATCTGATCACATTTCATTGAGACTATATTTATATTTTAACTTTAATACTGTCGGTCCGGCGGACCGACGCCAGCCAAACGAAAATTCCAGTGCCGGTCCCCAGGGACCGGCGCCGCGCTCAACGTTTTAAAACCTGAAACCTTTTAGATTTTTATTTTATATCATACTTTTCCCCTTTCTAATTTTCTGTCAACATTTCATAGAACGCAAATTATGCTAAGGTTAAACAGTAAACTAGACTAGTATTTATTTAATACAACTAGTATTTAGAGATCGAGAATTGGCAATGCTATATGTGCATGTAGCTATATGCCGTGTGTGGTATCGGTAGCGGTTGTAACAGCTTTACATATTATTAAAATCTTGTAGTTTAAATAATTTAAATAGATGAACATTGAGGTATTTGTGAATGGCAATATTTGAAACCAGACTCGAGTGCAACGTGCGACTCTCGCACAAAGAATGTAATTTATTTTTAAATATAGAATATGTTTCTTTTCTTGTTTGTATGTCGCCATTTTTTTGAGTGTTAAATAAAAGTTATTGCTGTGTTCCATCATTGGAGTTGCTTCATTTCGCCAAAGAAGTATTACAGTCTTAATTATTTTGGAGGCACCGACGAGATCGAATAATCGTGCGTATTTTTATTTTATTAGTTCATCACTGAACATAATATTAGTGATACCAGATTATTACTTAATGTTTACATAGAATTGCTTTATGTTATTAGTTCATCACTGAACGCAATATTAGTGATACCAGATTATTACTTCCTGTTAATAATAAATTGTCTTATTTTATTACCGTATTTGATATTATATTTAATATTCATTTTAGTTGTCCAGACGGTAGATATATATATTGCTCTATGTTATTATTCTTATTTTAATCACAATTAATGTGGTACAGAGAATGAACTTCATATAATTTAAATATTTCATTTTTGAGCTATTTTGGGGAAATATAAGGAACACAGTGTTCGTTAATTTTAAACATAGAAACAATGTCTTACTTAGGAAGAGCTCGTAAGGAAGATTTGCAAAATCTCGCGGCTGAACTGGGAGTTCATGTGACTGCAGATTTGAAAATAGTCGATTTAAAACAGAAAATTGTTGAAAGTAGAGATTATGATGAAGTATTCGTCAAAGGAGTTTTAGACACAATAATAGAAGAACGGAAAGAGAGGGAGAAAAGAGAAAAAGAGAGAGAGGAAAGAGAAGAACGGAAAGAGAAAGAGAAGAACGGAAAGAGAGAGAGGAAAAGGAAAGAGAAGAACGTAGGAGACAGGAAGAAGCAGAAGAGCGGAGAAGGAATGAACAGTATGAATTAGAGAGATTAAGATTTGAAGCAGAGACAAAGTCTCAAAATACCGGACAGATCCGGCCGAAAACGGAGCTGCGTCACCTTATGCAGAAATTCGAAGATAAGAAAGGAGATATTAGTCTATATTTGCTATTGTTTGAAAGGCAAGCAGAATGGGCTAAAATTGATAAAGAAGAATTTGTATCTCATTTACTAGGACTACTTCCTTACGAAGTAACCCAGTTAATAGCTAGAGAACTCTCCGATAAAGCTAAAGACTATGAGCACGTGAAGAATTTATTGTTAAGATGGTTTAAACTAAGCCCAGAAAAGTTTAGGCAGAAATTTATGAAACATCAAAAGAGTACCGAATCCACATGGGTGGATTTCAATTATGAAATAGAAAATTATTGCAAGGAATGGGTGACTGGTCTAGGAGTTAAGACTTTTGATCAGTTGCTAGATTTGATGGTGATTGACCAACTTAAGCGTCGAGTTCTTCCTGAAATTCGAGATCATTTTCTTGATGAGTGGGTAGAGAGGATTTCATCTAAAAAATTAGCTGAAAAACTTGATGCCTATGAAAACGTTTGCGGAAACTTTAAAAAAAAGCCTGTAAGTGGAGATAGGCAGAAAGAAAGATACAAAGCACTAACTCAAGGTAAATTGAGTTCAGATAATAAAAATAAAACTGAAAACAAAATGTCATCAGGATTTAATACGCAAAGCTTGTTTCATAGACCTAGAAGTCCACGTCCAGATGATAAATATGAAAAACGAAAACACCACAATGCTATCAGTGTGGGTCCTATCAACATTTAAGGCCCCAATGTCCAAAACTTAAGAATAGTACTGAATCTCCTGCTAATCTTAACAGAATTAGTGCAAAACCAGAGGATAAATTTCAATTACCTTATACTAGTATGGGTTACGTAAATGGTCATAAAATTCCTATATTAAGGGATTCAGGCGCTAGTATTGATATAGTTTGTCGCAAACACATCACGCCGGAAAGTTCACAGGTGAAAATGTGTGGGTGCAACAGCCATTAGACTTGAATCCAACCTGTTTACCATTGGCTGAGATCGAACTAAATTGCGATCTTGGGAGAGTAATAACTAAGGCTGCCATTATTAGAAATGAACTCGCCAAAGGAAGGTATTTATTAGGCAATCGAACTTTTGCACTGTTGAATAAACAAGGAAAGGAGCCTGATAGTTGTCCTCACCAGGTTAATGCTGTCTCTACTAGAGCTCAAAGGAAAAGATAAATAGCTGAAGAGAAGCTCTTGGAACCGATGAAAGAAGAAAAGAAAGCATCCATAGATGTTTTTGAAGAAGATAATTTATCGGAACTAAATACGGAAGATGAAGCTCTCATGAAACTGGTAAACATTGACTCAGAAGAAGTTGCACGACTTCAGCTTACTGATAAGAACTGTCTAAAATCATCCAAGAAGTTAAAGAAGGTACATGCAAAAATGAGAACTATAGTCTGACAAGAAAAGAGCTTTTAGTTAAAAAACCGACAGATAAATTGGGCTTTGAAAGACAGCTTGTAGTTATACCTGAAAAACTCAAGCCGTCAATTATCAAGATGTGCCACGAAGGAACTTCTGGTCATTTGGGTGTCTAAAAGACCAAAGACAGACTTGCTAGATATTTTTACTGGACGAGGTGTTACAAAGAAACTGAAGATTTTGTAAGAACCTGTGATGCTTGTCAGCGCGCTGGAAAAGGAAATTACAAAAACAAGGCTACAATGACATTAGTACCAGTAATTTCCGAAATATTAACTAAAATAAATGTCGATGCTGTTGGTCCGCTACCTATTTCAAAGACTGGAAAAAAATTTTATTACAGCTCTGTGTATGTCTTCCAAATATCTAGATGCTGTTGCGGTGACAGACATTTCTTCGCCATCTGTGATTGATGCTTTCTTACAGATTTTCAGTCGTATGGGTTTCCCAAAAGTGATCCAAACAGATCAGGGGACCTCTTTCGTCAGTGCTCTGACAGAGGAATTTTTGGAGAGTTTCGGAATTAATCATGTAAGAAGCTCTGTGTATCATCCGCAGAGTAATCCCGTTGAGCGATTCCATAGAACGCTAAAAAGGGTGTTAAGAGTCGTATGCATAGGAGAGACTTCTGATTGGGAGAATTATCTATCATCAGTTCTTTTTGCTCTCAGAGCAGTCACACACGAAAGAACTGGTTTTACACCAGCAGAATTAGTTCATGGCAAAAACCTACGAACGCCAGTCACTTTACTTTATAAGCAATGGCTAGAACCGATTGAAGAAAGTAATAATGTTGTCAGTTACGTTTTCGAACTTATTAATCGAATGAAGAAATGCCAAGAACTTGCCGTGGAAAACACGAAAGAAGCTCAACAACGGAGGAAAACATGGTACGATCGAAACGCAGTGAAAATAGAATTTGATAGAGGAGATTTAGTTCTTGTTTTATCAACGAATCGTCAAAGTAAACTAGAAGTACAATGGAAAGGACCTGG